GATCTGGATATGTTTTTTTTGACAGTGAATGCAACACCATTCCTCTTCAATTTGTCATTCCCGGCATAGTAAACCATGTGGTCATCAGATTCAAAATGGTTAATACCAGTCCATTTCAGCTCACTAATGTATAAGATATCAGTGTTTATGCATTCCATTTCATTTTTGACAACTTCCAATTTTCCCAGATTCATACTTTGTACGTTCCATGTTCTGATATTCCATGGATGTTTACAGCTATTTCTCTTCAGTTTGAGTTCTGCCCCATCAGCAAATGAAGGTCCCGTGGGCTTTACTCCATTCGTGACATTACAGTCATCTCTACTTTGAGGAGGCAGCTCTTCCCCAGTCGCATTTTGAGTACCTTCCAACCTGAGGGGCTTATTTTCCGGCACTTTATCTGACAGGGTTTCTTTGTTATTCGTAATGTTTTCAGTGACTAAATATTCGGAAGTAGTTCATCACTCCTTCTTCCTGGTCTGTCTTCGTCTGGAAGCTTAGCTGAGACCTGTCCACCATAGGTGACCTTGCTGGTATTTAAAATATTGGTGGCATAGCTTCCAGAATTACAGCAACTCACAAGCCACCATTTGTAAGCATTGAAAGGACATTTCTGAACTATAAGCTTCCGAAAAGTTATATAGAGATTATTATACCAGATTGAAATGGTTCTCCTTTTTTTTTTTTTTTTAAAAAAAATTCATTATTGAGTAAAGGTTTACAGAGCAAATGATCCGTTTTACATCCAGCAGATCATATATTTTGCTTCATTACACGGTTGCAATCCCCGCTGTGACAGCAGTTTTTACCTTCAGTCACTTTCACTGTTGGATTCCTCCCTGTGTCTCCTGCTCCCTTCAGCTCACCTTTGCTAATTTTCGTCTTGTAATACATTGCCTGCTCTGTCACCTACATTAACATGTGTCTACTGGTGTGGCGCCAGACTGCAAAGCCGTTTGAACTTCAAGGTCACCAGTTCAAGCTCACCATTTTCTCCTCGGAAACCCTATACAGGGTTGCTCTGAGTCGGGATCGACTCGACAGTGCTTAACAACAACAACAACCCTCTAGTAGTGGTTACGAGTCAGGCTGTCAGGCTCAAGGTCAGCAGTTCAAAATATCAGTGGTTCCACCAGAGAAAGATGATCAGGCATTCTCCTCCCATAAAGATTTACAACCTCGGAAACCCTGTGCAGGGTCACTGAGTCGGAAACACCTCCATGGTACCTAACAACAACAACCCTCTAGCCCATGAATAATTTTCCCTCACCCCTACCCCCGTCACCATCATAGATTGTTTCTTTTATCAAGAAAACATTTTTTTTTAAGCTTTTTACAACACTGATCTCATACAATATTTTTCCTTTTCTGATTCACTAATTTTCTCCAAATGCAACCACATTATGAGGTGTTTTATAGAATCATCTTATTCTTCAGTGTTGTGTAGTATTCCAATGTGTGTATGTACCAAAGTTTTTTTAACCGTTCTTCTGTTGACAGGCATTTAGGCCGTCTCCATCTTTTTGATATGGTCTCTTGTAGACAGCATATTGAAGGATCCTGTTTTCGTATCCATTCTGCTCTCTATATCTCTTTTTTGTGGGGGAGTAAATTTTCTTTCTTTTTTTTTT